CCCCGTCGCGCCCCCAGCCCCGGCCCCCGCCCAGGCCCGCCGCCCCCCGGCTCCCTCCTCACCAACGGGCGCGGCGGCCATTTTGAGAGCTGAGGAGAAGGAGGGCGGGGGCAGCGGCGGGGAGGAGCGCACCGGGCCCGCCGGGCAGCCGCGCGGGGACGGGGCCGCGCTTACCCGAGCCGCCGCGCCGCGCTCGTGGGGCCGCGGGTGCCGCTCGGCGGGCGGTGTCGCGGGGCGCGGGACGGGACGCGACGGGAGAGCGACTCCGCTCCGCTCTGTCACAGGCGCCGCGGCCGCCGGAGCAGGGAGGAGGGCGGGAGGAGGGAGCGGCGCGGCCCGCGCGCGCACTGCGCATGCCCTGCGCGGAGGGCGGGGACGCGCCCGGAGACCATCTTGGGAGGCCGGGGCGCGCCCGGCGTGCTCTGCGCGCCGCCCTGTCGGCCGGCCGGCCGGCTTTCCCGGCGTGCCCCGCGCGCCTCGCGGTGGGCCGGACCGGACCGGACCAAACCGGACTAAACCGGACTGGACCGGCTCAGAGCGGCTGGGCGCCTTGCGGTCCCTCACGAGGCAGCACCGCATCCTCCCTCACACCTCGCTGAGCGGAGAGCAGGAGGCAGTGCCGTGGCCCTCGGCGTCGAAGCAGCCGTCGAAGGCACGAGGGAGGGTGAGGGAACGGCGGCAGCTGGAGCAGTGCGAGCGTGGCCAGGGCGATCACACTCGGCTGGGGCAGCCTTCTCCCCTAGAGAACAAGAAAATAAACAAGTAAATCGCAAAGCGGCTGTTGCGGCAGCTGCCTTTGGTCTCCCCAGGCAGACAGCGGCGCAGCCTGGCTCGCGAGCAGCCTGCTCCCGCGCAGGGCCGGGTTTATTGAGCGCTGTAGCCCCGCAGAGCTGGGTCGGCGGCTTTGAGGGAGGCATGTCCATCACTCCTGATCCTGCCTGGGGCGAGCACGGAGCCGGGGGCTTGGTCCTGTCTACTACATGTCACCATTGCAGGGTCATCGTCTCCTACAAACCTTGTTTCATTAAATCTCAAGGTATCCTCAAGTTATTATGCCAGTGTAATGATGGTACACGGAGGCATAGACCACTGATAATGTAATGCACCTACGTGCAACCAGTGACTAACAGAAGGAGACAGAGCCCTAGGGAGGCTGCTGGCAACCTTAATTGCCCTGTGACACATGATTAGCCAAGTCCAAGCCAAATACTCTCTTTGCTTTTGTTCTGCAATCCTTACGGACTTGAGTGATTTGTGTGAACCTCAGCAAGGTGCTCAGTGCTGGCCTGGGTGCTGCGCAAGATAGCGCGTGGTGGATGGTAGGCGTGAGCCAAGACTGGACCCAGCCAGTAGAACTGCCTCTCTGCAGTTTATCCACATGCAAAGCAGAGAGAGTCCTGCTGTCACAGGAAGCGGTTACACATGTCGCTATCAAAGGCTGGTGACCAAAGTCACCTCTAATGTTGGCAGACGTTAACAGCATAATTACCCTAGCCACATACGAGGTTTAATATGAGCCATAAAGATTTCTAAAGTGTTGATTTGGGTAAATGAAGCACTCTTGTGTCAGTGTCCCGTACTTCAGGAGTGTGTTCCAATGTCTTGCAAGAAAGAGGGTTGCATCAGGCCATACCATTTTTGTTTTCCATAGTTTTCTGAACTCCTGTGCTGACTTCTGTGATAGAGATACATGCCTGGTTTGCATTTAAGGCAAATGTCAGTGGAAAAAATCAGTCTGAGTCACACGGTGGGTCAAAATAGTAAATCTGCATTATCTTTAGTGCCACTTAGATATACAGAAGAATAATACATGCCCAAATGAAGCTTACTACTCCTTAAATTTTAAATCTGAAAGGATGTTACCCTTTGTTCAGGTTAAACCTCTGAAATTGTTATTTTGCAATTATACTTTTTAAATTTTTAAAAATGCTAAACCAATTTTCTTATCTTTCAAGAGGCCTGCAGTCACTGGTTGGAGTTTTGTGATGTGCTGTTTTTATCTGGACAGGCCCCGAAGTGGCTTAGTGCCTCCCAGTCCTATTTTAAGGTAAAGGATATTAGGTCCTTTGATATTACAGCTAATTATACATTAGAGTGTTCACCAGTATATATATATTGTTATGCACATTGCTTACATGCACAGTGTAACTAGTATCTGTATCTAGTAAGGCTGTCTAGTCCATATTTCTGCAGTTTGGCTATAATGCTACAGTGGATACCGTGTCAAAAGCATTGCTGATGTCAAGGAGAGTCACGTCCAGTTCTCCCCCCTTATCCATGAAGCCAGCCATCTAACTGCAGAATGTCATGTTAGCTGAGCAAAATTTGCTCTAGTAACCTGTACTAGCTGTTCCCAGTCATCTCGTGTGCCCGAGCTTGGTCTCCAGGAGGGTTTGCTGGCCTCTGATCTCTGGAAGTATCCATTATATTATTAGTCTGCAGTGTATAGGATATCTGCAAAACAGAAATTGAAATTTAGGGTAAGACTTTAGAATGGTAAGCCAAAAATATTTACTCCATTTACATTTTTTCATAAAGATTGCAGAATATTAAAAGACTTACTCTGAAGTTTCTTGAAGTTATAACTATATCAAATATTTTGGAATGCATTCTCTTGATAATATTAGCTTTTCTCCAAGAATTCTCGAATCTGTTGCATAGACATTAATGGATTTCTCCATCATTTTTATGAGGTAGGTATTATATTACCCCTTCATAGCTGGAGTATCAGGGATGCCAGAAGTCTAAGTGATTTTGAAATAAACATCTGAAGAAGAGTTGGATATAAAAACACAATCCTTGTGGTTGTTGATTTGGTCTTGGTATAGGTGACACTTCTTATAAATAATGCAGCATTAAGCTTTTTCTTCCCTTTGGTTGTAATATGATTGTTTGATGTTGGGATGAAAAAATATCACAGCTTAACTATGAGGAATTTTAGGACAGGAATCAAATATTTTTCTTGATTGCTACAGTATATCTTGATAATAGAATGAAGCATTCCCTCAGATAACCTCAGCTAGGATGTAGAACAAAATTGCACAGCTCATTCCAATTCCAGCTTCATTTTTTTCTTCATGGTATTCCTAAAGTAAATGTTTATAAATTGCACAGCCATGCCTCACAGTGAGCTGTGGTTCTTCAGTGTACTTTTTTTTACCCTGGAAGATAGCATCTACAGGATAGCACCGTATTTACTACACTGAAGATTGCATATTTGAGAATGTTACATCATGTACTGAGGAATATTTTTCTGCAGACATTCTTTCTTCTAAGCACTGAAAAGTTCATTTATTGATTATTCACACATTGTCTATTAATTAATGTTGTGGTTACTGGTCTATTTGCTTATACATTTCTGTAGCGAAAGAGCGACTATGCCACTGTAACATATAACTTTACAACTGTAACTGTAACTTACAGTATTTACATGCTGTAAGTCCATCCCAGGGCCTGACCTGCAGACTATATGAGCTATTAACAGTTACAGATTTTTGGAAAATGGGAAGACTGCACAAAAGTGCCTCCACATATTTGAACTGAAAGATGAACTGAGCTTTAGGTTGGGAATAAATTCTACTGACACAAATATTGTCATAACTAAATGCCTAAGTACATGGCAAAGAAAAATTAACTTTTAGGTGTGTCATGCTGTTCAATTTAGTGAATCAATGGGCATGTCTACCTCTGTCATTAACCCTGTCATTGGAATATATTACATGAAATGAGTATTTTCTCGTCTTTTTATTCAGCAGCGACTATGTGGTTCAAGCACAGCTTGTTTCTAAACCTATAATGTTTTCCGCCGTTGTCCTTATACATCGAACTACATGCAAAGGTTTCTGTCAGGGTATTTGCTGAATTCCTACATCACTTGGATTTATCTTAAGAAAGACATTCTTTGTGCAACCAAAATATAACCAAAATACTAATTGTGGGAAGATGTTATGCACACAATGCAGAAACATTCAGATTCTTTAGTGTATATTAAGGTTTTAGAAAACCTACTTCCAATACAAATGTGGCTTCTGCTGTATATTAGCAACATAAACAAGAGTACAATCAGTGATGCATCTCTTTTGACCCAGCCTTTCTTAAGAGCATTGAAAAGATGAACAAATCTGGGCTCTAACATGTTTCGATATTGAGAGTTTGGCCATATGCAAAGTGTTCGCCCATTAGTAGAAATTTGTACTCGTGAGCCATTTTTTTGAATTAATAAACAATGTGAAATGATAGAATTTTCAGCAAGTCTTCCAGGGCTTCACATCCATATATCTATTCCATATTGGTTATTATCAAACTGGTCACCACACATAGGTTAGAAGTAGTTTGAACTGATTATTATGACTGTCTGTCTGTCTGCACCTCTACAGAGTCTATGTTACTATGGATACTGTTTTCAAATGGTTCCTTTTTAAAAACAAACAAACAAGCAAAGAAAAGTGTGTGTGTGTTAGTTCAGCAACTGTTTTTCCTAGAATTAAAGTATGAAGGTCCAAGTAAAAGTAGCATTTCATCAGCTAATGAGTTTTATTTTTACTGGCTGTACTCTGACAGAGGACCTTATATAAATTTATTGTTCACCTTTAAATGCAGCTTTATTGAGAGCTGTAAGTCAGTTTCACTTGTTGAGTCACAATTTACCCACTACTACTTTTGCATTTTAGCAAGGCTAAGATCAGGTTATGCTGTGCTACAAGTTCAACCTCCTTTATCACCAAGTTATATATAGAAATTATTTTTTTATGATGATATGAGAACAAGTATTGGATATAGCGACTTTGACGAAGTTTTTTAATATTACAGTATTAATTGCAGATATTTATTGACTTACCTGAATATGTTTCCCATTCCCAAAGTCATAGAAACTTTATAAAAAATAAATTTATTTAAAAGATATATATACTTAATTTTAAAACTTTTATTTCTTGTTTCCAGTACGTTGTTCTTTATAGGTTCATAATGGTTTTATGAATTAAAGCTAAAGCTCTATCAGTAATGTGTAAATTTCAATTAAAAATACAGTAAAGCCATGCAGAAATAATAAAAGATCTAATTTTCTATCTAATTGAGCATGCACTTTTGCATGCAGAAGATGTACACAGTTATCATGCTAATGTGGAGGTGTACTGTAGTTGAACATGCAGATTAGGTCATCATAGACTCCTGCAGCTAATTAGAATAATTTGTGTGAATAAGTACTTGATTTGCATAGAAAACTGCCACAGATACACATGCAGATATTTTAAATCAGATGAATCATTCATCAATCTTATTTCTAACCATATTGCAACTGAAATTAGGAAAAAAAAATAGCTGACTTGTTTCAAGTGCAAGCCTTTGTTGTATTAAGCTTCACTTTTTCCATTCAGACCCATACATTTAGTAATCAGCCTTTAGAATGAAAGAAAACAATTATGCAAACTGCTGGAAGGAATGATACAAAGTGCTTCACTAGTTTGTTTATCAAAGTAAAAATAGAAACTGCAACACCTAAGAGTGTGTCAGTATAAGTGCTCAGGAGGACAAGTGTCCAAAGCATATTAGTATTAAAGAGGGGAGCAGAAACTAACATGAATGCATTCTTAATCCATAGTTATCCCAGATTTGGATTAAACTGCCTTCTGGAGTTTTTTAAAGGCCCATTTCTTATTGAGGTGTTTACCTTTGGTCATACTGTTTCTCCTTCTAATGAGTTCAAATTTAAAAAAAAAACACAGGAGCAGGATACACTTTTCTGCCGAGTGCATCAATGGAATCACTTCTGAGTCAGAAACCGAGACCACAGCAAATATGTTGCTTCTTTAAATTTGTAACCTACCCTGCTCATTATAATAATGTGCAATCATGTATATTATTATATCTGCCACTCTCCAGACCTTCTTCTAAATTCATTCTCCTTTTCTTTTAAAATAGTGAAGCAATACTGGCAAAGTTAAATGACATTGCTTGCATTTTATATGATAATGGTACAGCAAAGGGTACTTTCATTACACCTAACCTATTATTAGAAGATCTTCTCCTATTATTTTTCATACTTCTACAAATTTATTTGCTTAAGTGTAATCCACAGAAATATGATATTGCTTTTAATAATTTCCTCCTTCTAAATCACTTTTAGCCAAAAAGTTCAAGAAAAAAAATGGTTGTCTTAAGAATATTTTGCTTCTATTTTAATATTTTTAGTTGTGGTAAGATATGTAGGTAGACTGTAATTTATGACTGCTATAAAGGAAACTTATCAACAGTAATTGACATTTGGGGGTAATTATATATATTGTTGACATAATGTCTTACTCTTCTAGTCAGAAGTAACCATAAGCTGAGCAGCCTCGAAGACTGAGTTGCCTCTCCAAAAAGATGCTCAACTTGCAGCTGAGGTTATTAACAAGGTAACAGATTTTTAAGATACACACTAAGGTATGTGGGAAACCTGAACAGTAGCTACTCAGAGGAAAATATTTAATCTTGCATGTCTTCTGAACAAAAGTATCTTCCTGAAGACAAGTATTCATCCTTTAAAAATGAAGGGAAAAGGAATGTTCTTTTCTTGATATGCAATCTATTTAACTATTCTAAATTTTAATAAACTGATAATTTATTACCCTATTAGAATCAGCAACATTTCAGGCCCCCCCCCCCCCAAAAAAAAAAAAAAAAAACAGAGCTATTGAGAAGCTATTGATTTGGAAAAACAGAATTGTAAACATTTTATTGAATCTTCATTTCAAAAAAAGTAGAATGTTTACAATCATTAATGTTATAAACAAACTCTCTTTTATATGGGAAGAATGGAAGTTTTCTTTTTTCTGCTTCTATCATGAGTGCTACTTGCCTATCTAGAAGGTTTAGAAATTAAAATCTATCTGTTCTAAAATTGTTGTCAGCTTAAAAAAAAAATGGCCTAAGTGGACAATTTTTGGTCTGCTCAGCATTTGCAGGAGTACTGCAGATTCCTGACTGCCAGGAGGTAGGTGGTTCAGAATACCTTATGAGTCACATCCGTAGGAATCTACCATGCACAAGCCATGGATAGATACTCACACACCCTAATCAAATTATATGTTCCACACATTCTTAAAATGAAACTTTCTGAATGCAGTTATACTTATTAGCTGTGCTGTGATTCAGTATTAAGCTAGCTACAAATTAAATTCTTCAGGGGAATTTGCCTGTTCTTATTGTGTACTTAAATGTTAAAATTTGAATGCATACTGCATTTTTTTTTTGTTAGAGATTGCTTTAATAAACAGCCACAGTTCAAATTTGGGATTGAGAAGAAATTTTAATTGAAGAAAGTCTTAATAATTCTTAAAGACGGGGGAATGAACTCCTTTTGGGTTCATATGCAGAATTCCAGGAGTTTGCATTTTGGCCTGAATAATTTTCGGGCCTGAAGAATTTTCTCTGTCCCCATTTTCAGGCATCATTGTGTTATCTGTATTTACTATTTTATCTTGTATGGCAGCTGTTTTATTATTAAACAGGTTCCATGAAGGAACTACCAGGTTCAAATGTCATTTGTCATTTTACAGCACAAGATGATAGAAAATCTCTTCTAAGCTTTCTGATGTACTGATAAAGCGCAAGATTTATTGATGTAAAATATATCTAACACATCCAATCTGTAGTTCTTTTTTGAAATGTTATATTTACAGAGGTACTTTCAACTTCCTGTTTCAAAAATAAATAAGCAAACAATTTGTCCCTTTTAAAGATTTGTTCAGAAGAATATGAAACAGCCAAAGATCCTGACAATTCAGCAGAGACCAAGAATTCCCTAAATAAGAAGTTTGATTTGCTAAGTTGTTTCGCCTGGTAGCAATATTTCTTAGGACTTTGGATGTTTGTTGAAGAGGATTTTTAAGATCTATATAGGTGAAAGCTAAGAATTTATCAGATAGACAATATGTAGCACGACAAAAAAATACTTTTTCTTTTTTCCTTACTGAGTTGGTAAGGTAATCTTAATAAAGTGTGTTCAATGTTTTCAGGGGGCAACCGTTTGGCATATTATGACAGAATTGCTAAATTTGATAAGGCTTGAAGAGGACCACTTACAACTGAACTAGACTTTAACTTTCCCAGCTGTAATAGATCAACAGTGAATTCTGTATACTTCACCTTTGTACAGCCACCTACATGTGGGCAGGAACAGTCATTTACACTGGTGGCAAACAGCTCAAGAGCTTGCTTCTGAAGCAGGGATACATGAAACTGCCTCAGTCATTTGTCTAAGGCATCAGCCTGCAGAAGGTTAGCCTGCTAGACTGTTGCATGTTCACAAGCAGGTATTCGTACAAACCGTCTCTTCTAGAGCAGGGTATTTATTTTGACACAAGAGATTCCATCTACGCTTCAAGTTAATTATGTTTCTCTCGAGGTTTTTTTGCTACCTAGATGTTTAGGCTAATGCAATCTATGTTAGGTTGTTCAAAAGTGCTTAATGCTGTAATACCTATGTGCTAATCTAAAAAGATGATCAATATCTGAATAGCGGGAGGTAGGAGGACAGCAGGGGATCATCCTAGTTCCCGCAAAATTTATCTTTCAGCTGACTTAAATAGTTGTCCTGATGTATTGCAGTATTATGCTATGTCAAATGTGTACATTTTAATGAGGTGAGTTAATCTTTCTATTCCAGGAATAGACATGGGTAGCATTATCTGTCATTGCTTATGATACTGTATGTATTAGATTGTACAGTTACTCTTGGATTGTCAGACCAGTTAAAGAAGCACAAGCTTTTAAAGGAAACTAAAATGTTTCCTTTAAAACATTCCTTTAATGTCTGCAGAATCAGGAAGAAGAAATCACACTGGATTTGCAGCAGAGATGAAACAAAGAAACATGTGGGTATTGTTGGGACTAAGAAGCAGCAACTGAGGCTTTTGTGATCTGCTGGGCCTCAGCAGCACTCGGCTCCTGCTTGGGTCAGCAGTAGTGACAGCTAAATAGTAGCAAAAGCATCATACACTTTACCAAAAATAATGCCAAATGTCAAGTTTTTATAGCAACTCCTCTGTCCCACAATTAGGATTGTCGTTGTCCACACCTACAAGTCTTCCCAGCCTGTTAGCAAACAGCAACAAGAGTGACAACAAGATGGGGGAAATAAAATACCAGCAGTGCTAAATGTCATGGTTGGAAATGGCAATAGCACTTGTTCAGCAGCCCTTTACCAGCTGAAGATTAAAATATAATGTGGGTCCTTGCTAAGGGGATGCATCACCAGTCAGAAGAATGGAAAATGCTTTCAGATGAAAAAGAGCTGAGGCAGCTGAACGCGGTGGAAGGATCTCTGTGCCAATGAGCTGCTACCTAATAGCTTGGCAGCTTAGTCGCTGGTAAATGCAGGCTTAGAGACTGCAACAGAGCTGCTTCTAGCCTGATGTTTGGACACTGGAAGCTGAAAATCAACTAAGAGTGCTGGATTTTTAAAATATTTTTAGTGTTTGGAGTTCAGTGAGTCTGTGAGCTGTGAGCCATGAAGGGGAGCGAAGTGAAGCCATGCATGGCTGTAAAGCCAGAAGGGAGGCATAGGGTCAAATGAGTGGAAGTCCCTCTATGTAAACTGTGATGAGTAAGGGCTCCATAGTTCAGTAGTAAAGAGAAATTGCTATCAAGAGCAATGTACTTCATGGGGATGTGCCTTTCTGAAGATGCTGGAGGTACAAAGGGGCGCACTAAGAGCAGAATTTGCTCCAGTGTTTTTGTCCCCACTTGCAAGAGAGATCCCTGGCCTGGCTGGAGAGGCCGTTGGCCTGCTGAGCACAAATGAGCTCCGCTGGAGGCAGGAAGCGGCTCATGGAGAACAGGGGTTTATTTCAGTGGCTGGGAGTGTTGGTGGTTGCTATGTGGCTCCTGAATAACCTACAAATTCTTTCAAAGATTGGCAGGAATTTTAATGATAGAAGTTTGCTGAGTAGATGAAACGCATCTCAAAGATAGTCAGGGATGATGATGGTCATGCTGATTAATGGCTCCCTGAAAAGTATGAGAGTGTCCTGATACCTTCTTGAGTGTGGATGCAAGAAAATGAATAGATTTAGTGTGAAGCCAGCAATAGTGCTAGTTAAACATTCCTCTCTTTATGAATATCTAAAATGCTTTCTTCCTCCCTTAAACTATAGAGATGTAATCTTCCTATAATTTTAAGGCTATAAAAGTGAGAAAAAAATACAAAAGATAAACATAATTGCTTTATTTCTGAAAAGGTATCGGCATTTTGGCTAAATGTATAGTTCTGGTGCATACCTGAGATTAATATTGCTAGTGAGCTGAAATATTTACATTTTTTTCCTCAGCTGTTGAAATCCTGTTCATAGCACTGACAGTCTGAAACAACATCCAAAGCCAGAATAAAAGGGAAAGTTTTCCTGTTGTTTCTAATACTTCTATCAGGGATAATAGAGTATAAACATCTACTAACTTAGCAATGCAAACATATGTGTGTATTAATATCTTATTAAAAGTATATACCATGTGGTATATATGTGTGTGTATATACATATCATACAGTATAGACACATACATTCATGCCCACAGTGCTGCCAAAAGCACCAGCTGAACTTGCCGTGCAGACTGAGAAGAAGGAACAGAATTATTTTCATGTGAAGAGGCTTTTCCAGGTTTAACCACATCTGTTACTTCCCATGTAATGCTGCTTTACCATTTCTTCAGTGCATATTTTCAGCTAATAACATTTTTTTTTCTGCTACACTAATCCTCTGAACACTTCCCTGGTGCTGTACTTAAACTGAGCTATTTATCTTGTGGTTTCACAATAAATTTTAGCTGCTCTAAGCCAGCACTTGCTGCTAATGCTACCACCTTCTGCAGTTCCCAATCTCTGCTTCTGTCCCCATGCTGTTCCCTCCCTCCTGCCAAAAGAAATATTTGTGTGATGAATGGGTTGGAGAACTGATGTAAGATAAATACAATCAAACTGGATCAGGTAGCCACATGAAACTATGGGACGTACGAAAGGGCTGCATCCACATAGAAAGGAATGGATCCCTCAACACCAGGGCTGAATTATTACTGGTTTAAACTCCAAAATTTGATCTATGGTGTACTCTCCTCCAACATTCATATACAATAAAAAGAAAAAAAAACCAATCCTGTAATTCCCAATTGGATAAATCAAATACTTCTGTTAACTTTGGTTAAACTATGGCTGCTTAAGAAATCTGGGGATCCACCCCCTGCTATACTTTTCTTGTTGTTGGCCTGATTTGTTTTTTATTGTTTGCAATAAAGTCCACTGGGGCAGGGCCTTTAGGGGGCAAATGTATCTTTGTTTTTTAGTAATGAGGTGATTCCACGAGTGAACATATATTCCAATAAGTAGTGTAAATTTAGTACAATGATTGCAACGAACAAAGAACAG